CTAAAAATCATTAATTGAATTTTGTTTAGAATTGATTTTAAAAAAAAGAAGAAAAGAACATACCAATAGCATAAAAGAATCCAACATTTTCACAAGCATTTGCTAATTTATCGATCATATCACGAGGATAATCATTTGTTTCATGCTTACTGAAACATGACGATACCATGTACAATTTAAAAACTAAATGATAAGAATAATAATATAGTAATACAGAAAATAATTCAATTTGGCAAATTTCAAACCACTGTAACATGTTTAAACATTGATGATGAACGCTTTTTTTTTCTTGCCTATATTTAGATGTATCCGTTGTGACAAAAAATTTTGCAACATTGTTTGTTTTGCGTACAATTGTATGCAGGAACATTATAAAAACGCTTATTTTTTTTCATTGAATGTTCTATCTAGGATGACAAAATCAAACCTGCACTGCTATTTTCGAAATTTCAATAGACTACTAACACGCAATCCTCAGATCATCGTGTTATTTTTTATAAGGCAAAATAAAAGAAAGCAGAATAATGTCGAGTTTTGTTCATTCATGTTGGCTACAATGTTTGAAACCAATGAAAGATCTGATGTAGCCTTCAAAGCATGATAATAATTATTCATCCTTATCTCAATTAAGAGTGAAAACTAATGTTTGTGTTCATTAATCGAATACTTTGTATTAAAATAAAACGTGTTTCGTATGTAGCTCTCAATTTCATCGTCTAAAATGAGTAAGTTCGATGTGAAAATTGTTAAATTAAACTTGATGACGAAAATACATTGAAGAGAAATCAATATGGACCTCTTTGAAAGTATTGATGGAATGATGAATGTTTTGATTTTTAATAGTGCCTCGGGCAGTCTATTTTATCTAACATTGGTTTAGTTGAAAATGAACTGATTTATCAATCATGACATAGATTTTGATTTGTAAGAAATAACACGATGATACACGTGTTAAGTGTTAGTAGCCTATTAAAATTTCGAAAGTAGTTATAAAGATATGGTCTTGTGATCGTATTCGAATATTCAATGAGACATCTTTTAAAAAAATTAACGTTTTAGTCTGTTTCTGAACAAAGCTGCATGTAAAACAAAGAATACCGCAAAGCTTTTACTACATCTTGTATATGCTTCATAGCATCACAAAACACTATTTTAATAGGTATTTTTTTATCCATATTCTGATATTGCATTACTTAAAGACTGATATCAACTTATTTACGATGATAGTACTGTGTAGCAATTGTTCGCGAGTATTTTTTTACTTTTTCGATCCAGTGTACCACACTCGTGATTATCTAACAATCAAAAAGCCGTACAATTTTTGTTCAAACATTGTTACAAAGTTTCATAATTCTATAAGATTAACCTTGTTCCGAAACTTCGATATGACGTTCCCGTTGTTCTCAATTTACTCCACAAAATGACAATGTTAATGTGGCAACTTCGTTGTTTTCCACGATCATGAAAACAAGTTGTAGCAGCAACAGTGTTCAGACCGAAAGGTACTGCCATGTTTCAAAGTGTTCGTTGTATCGATGACTGCTGATTTAGATGTTAAATGTATTAATTAGTTTCGCATTTTAAACAAAACTTAAATTTTTCTTACTATATGCATGAACATAATTGATTTAATTTACTTTCTGTTTGATAAAAGTTACTAAATGTTGTTAGAGAGCCGACAATGTTAGCTAAGTATATGACTGTTTCCAGTTATTTAGACAAAAATGACGCCATAGTTCTTTATTTTTGAAGTGTTTCCAGTTAATCATATATTTTGCAAACCCATTATATGTTGCTGTTAGTTGCATATAGTGAAATAATCAAAATAAATTGTTTAAACTGTTCATAATCGAATTTTTACATTCGAAGAAACTACTGCGATGTGTTCTTAAAACGATATCTTGGAATGAGTACAAAAATGAACTAATCTTGCAACGGAATATAGAGTAGAACGACATAAAAATGAAACCATAGTAGAATATCATACACACTATGTCTCGTAAAAAAAAACTAATGATTATCATTTCACTTAATTTTTCTTTCATGATAGTGCGTGAACATGGATGCAAAAAACACTTTTTTTGTATCATACGACAGAATCGATCGATTTTCCATTAAAAAAGCATAAATCTTGGCAAAAAATAACAATCATCTATATATGTTTTTATTGAATTCGTATGGTACTGAGCTCTCAAATAAGAAGAAAAAAAAACCTATTGAAATAAGACCTCGTCATGTATTTTCAAACAAAAATGTGATCTACGCTATTTTTATCTATAAAATCATTTCACTAGTCTCAATTCTGTTCATTCCTCGAGAACTTCCCAGAATTTTGAAACTCAAAAATCGTGTCAATTTTTATTCAGGATCCTGTCTGGAATCCCAGCAATCCCTATCTCCAAGATTTTTTATGACTAAATAGAATCCTTGTCAACATTCATTCCAGTTCCTGCTCAGATATTTTTCCAAAATCAGAATGTAGGATTCACTCTCAATCCTACTCAGAATTCTGAAAAGAATAGCAGAGCAAATTCTACCAAGATTTTATCTGCTTTATGTGAAGATCTCCTCAATACTTCGTATTATGATCCTGTCATGATCTATAGATACATTAGACGTGAGTCTTATCAATTCACAAGATCTATCGGAATTCTAAAGTGAGATATCCTGACAAAATTCCATTGTGATCTTGCTTTAATTCTATTGCATACTTGTTATGAAAATTTCTGCGTAATTTTTTCAGGCTCCTAGTCAAAGCGTTTCAAGAATAAGAGTTTCGAATCCTTGAAAGACAATATCAATCATAATCAGGATCTTCATAGGAAAACATAACGAATCAGGCAGGATCTTTGCAGATACTATTTTACAGCACCGAGTTCTGTTCACTTCTTGAAGAAGCTTTGAACGATTCTGCCAAGTATTATCCAGGATCCTTTTCTAATTTTCTCTAAGTTCCTGCTCGTATTATTTTTCTAAATTAAGAATGCGCCATCTTACCACGATTCACTCACGATCCTACTCCAGAACATCACAGAAATAGCCGAAAGAATTCTGTCAAACTTTCACCAAGTTTTAGTCAACATCTGTTGAGAATCTTCATACGAGGATTCAGTCAAGAGTTAACGTCATGTCAGAAGAGAATCTTGACAGGAATGAAAAAAGATTATTCACAACCATAAAAAAGTAATCCTGTTGAATTTCGATCAGCCCTCAGCTCCGAATTTTACGAAAGCAAGCGTAATCGAATACTCATAAGATAACACCGACCATTATCAGAATCGTGATACCAAAATGCAACAACCTAGCTTAGACTTTTGATAATTTGTATTTGAAGTTTTTTCAGGATCCTATCAAGATTTGTAACTGATTTTGCTCAGAGTCCAGACCAAAACGAATGTAAAGATTTCATCAATGCTTTGCTTTAGGCATTTTTTTTTCAGAATTTACTAAAGATATGTAAGTGTTTAGATCACAACACAAATTTTAATATTAATCTTAAATAAATCTTGATCAGTAATAAATGGAAGGATTTTTGGAGTTTTCATCATATTTTGCCCCGAATCTGGCGTAACACATCCTCATCTCCTAGGTTACGAAAAAAAAAACTCGAATATTTAAAAAAGAAACCATAATTTACTGTTGTTCTGTTTCAAGTAATAAAAGTAATGAAGAGAAAAGAGTATTTTTCTTTTGTATAGATTCGAAGTGATGAAAACGCGCGCATACAAAGAAACTGTCTTTTTAGGAACAGCCTGTGACCATGCCCACAGATAAAGTAACCAATACACACGTATCCAAATGATGGACGTGTATGGCAAATAAACAGTCTGCAGGGTATAGTTGTTCCAATAAGAAGAGTTTCTCTGTATTTTATATAGAGCCATCAGACGAGCTGACAGAAAAGGCAATGCAGAAAAGAAAATTCCTCGATTCATTCAAGGTGTTATTCTTGGTGTTCCAATGTAAGAAGAATTCATTGTTTGAAGAAAAGAAAACAGTAGAGACTACTAATCGGTTGAATGATTTATATTTGTCTATAATTGAAATACACTTATATCTGACACAGAAACGGTAACTCAACTATTCATAGAGATCATTCATTCAATTGACAGAAAAGAATAGTGACGGATGACATCGAACACAGTGACTTTATATACAATTAGAGATCATGTTTCTATGGAAAAGAAATTCACAGCTGATTGGTATATCTATATATACATAAACGAATATGCTTATCAATTAGTTGGTTAACAGGAGAAAAAAAAATTGTAAAAATGATTCAAGAGTGAAAAAGAACAACATTACTTATTCCAGTATTATTATTGACATGAAATGAGTAATGAACAGGCCAAGCGTGTGATTATAATCATTGTAAATGATTTCAATTTCGTTATCCTGTACTGTTTATTAGAACAGAGTTTGTTTACGAAATAAAATTAGATAAGTTCGTTCAAAATCGAAAATCTCTGTTTCAATTCATGCAACGATGAACACCCTCGAGATACGTATAAAACAATAAGCTTATTGATTCATTTGTTTCGCTATGGTCGAAATCAGAGAACTTCAAAATCGTATTTCGATATCTTCTTATGTGTTTTAACATTTATTTTCGAGCGAAAAGGAAACTGTATAGTTGTCTCCTTTTCTTTTGTATTACTTCCAGAAAAATTCAAAAATGACTTCTTATTTTCGATAATGGTTCTAATGCTGATTATGAACATTATGTTTAATAGGTCACCGAAGACAAGTCAATAAATAAAAATTCAGCAAAAAAAACAGTTTCAAAATCTATTTATTGCAACTAGTTCTTACGTTATCGACATTTCCACTATCTCAAACTTTGGAGCATATATGCAGATTGATTATGAAATGAACCGAAAGTCTACGAGTATCATCTAATCGAAATAACTTGGCCAAAATTTAGTTTCATATTAAAAAAAAGAATCATGTTTTTCCAAATATTTGTAATCTCTTCGCCAAGTAAATTACATTTAGAGTCGGTTTTGAATAACTAACAATAAGAAAAATATTAGGTATTGAGATTTCTGGATGAACTTGCTGCCGATAATAACATTCTTATTAATATAATTTTTTCTATTCTTCACTATTGAAATTCTATATTTTCCAAGATATTTTGGATTTTTATTTTTCAGTTTAAAATATTACTAT